GAGTATGTACGTTATTATGCATTATATAACGCATAATACGCGTAAAGAAATAGTCAGTGACTCAGGCCTCCTGTTCGTTTGACGTCACAAACAGGAACAAAATAAAGCAAGAGGCATCTTACAAAACGACTTCTATGCGCGAGCTACGTCAAATCCGTTCACTGGTGACTCACAGGGAAAGCAGTTCTTGTAATTATTTCGACGTAGGTTAATTTTTATTTTTTGTCTTTTATTTCTAACGTAGAGGCGTTAATATACATAAATTACACATGGATAAACATCCAGACCCATGATTCGTTCGGGATTACAATTTAGAATTCGCGAGTTCGCAAACTTACAGCGCCACAAACATCTTAAGAATATAAATAAATAATCTATGCCTATAAATACTGTAAGACGAACACATTATTAAAATTATTATAAATCTGAAGCGAGGATTTCTTTACTTCGTATTTAGCAAGGTAGAAATTATATTTCTTTTACATATTTTTTTTTTATATAACAAAGGTGACAAACGAGTATGCATAGACATTTCCCCATGTAACAACAGGAAATCATGTTAGTTTTAAGGTTATTTAAGCCAGGCCTGTAGGGAGATAAATTCGGAGGGTTGGAAACCCATTAAGGGCTGACTAAGAATTTTGTAGATAAAATTCTTTACGAACAATACAATACTAAAACAAATAACGGTGAGTGTAGAGAACCGGAGACCCTTTTTACTGGAAAAGAGACATTCCATCTTAGTCCTCACGGCTGACAACGCACCTGCATTTTGATTCGAAAACGAGGATAAATGTAAATCTCTATGTGCCACAGCAGCCACATACAATCAGGTGGACTGTGCGGTGTGCGCTCACCTGTACCCCTTATCCTATAAAAAAAACCAAGAGTGTGACCAATGAAACTGTATGAGGCAATATGGTTGTATGAATACTTTGAGTGAGGCCTACAATAACTAACAACTAAAAAATAAGTGAAAACAGACTCCTGAATTGAAAAGATTTTGTTCCACACCCGCAGTGTTTTTGAAAGACTTATCTAACGATACCCCACATGTTGGAATAGATTTGTAAAAAAACCATCCTCCATTTACTTGTATGGGAAGTACCCAAAATAAAAATGTTTTTTAAGATTTTATTCCACAGTTTTCTAGGCATGATTAATTTATATAACTATGCTAAATTACAGATTTGTAGCTTCTAGGGTTTGTGAGCAAAACCGCGGACGGACAGACGGACGGACGGACATGGCGAAACTATAAGGGTTCCGTGATGTGTAACTACAGCACCCCAAAAAAAGAATCAAACGCTGTCAAAGAGTCTTCTATCAAATTCAAATCATTTATATGAAAATTTTGAGCAAAACAAATACATGTAAAATTATAATAGATTGTACAGAAATAAAAATTGAGAAACCCAAAAATCCTGCTTCTCAAAAATTAGTTTACTCAAATTATAAATCAACCAGCACTCTTAAAGTATTTGTAGGTGTTTCTGCAACTGGATATGTACCATCTGTTTTAGATGCATATAATGGGTCTATTAGTGATTGACAATTATTTGAAAAGTGTGGATTAATAGATTTGTTGCAGAATGGAGAGAGACATTCTTGGTGACAGAGGATTTAATATGTACATGACCTTGTGTATCACAAAAACATCACAGTAAAAATGCCTGATTTTTTACATAAAACTAATAGACAGTTTGAATATCACCAACTACAAAGATCCAAAAAAATACCCTCAAATAGAATACATGTAGAAAGTGTAAGGTTTGGGCAAGACATAAAATTTTGTCTTGAAAATTCACATCCACTTTAGTACCTCTAGGTAGCAAGATTATTTTTGTTTGTTTTATGTTGACAAATTTTAGGTCAAATTATACTATGGCATGTATTAAATAATACACTTTAAAAAAATAAGTTATTTTAATTTGACACTCCAAAGGTTAGGAGTTCTATCTTAAAGGAAAAAATGGTTTTGATTATTATACGGTTTATTAAGTTTATAACAATACTAAGTGAGTTTACCTGGTGAGAAATAAGCAGATGTAAGAAGTTAATCAATAAAAATGAAAAAAGTAATAAATCTATTTAATATTTTTTGCCTAATCTATATCATAAAATTTTTTGGCAATAAGAGTAACATAAAAGTGAAATAACATTCTGTTGTCTTGGGGATTATAATGTTGTTAATAATATTGTCATTCCTGTGCACCACAATTTTTTTTTTCATCACAATTAGTTCATATGAAAAAATCACAAACTGACTACCTGCTGACAAGTAACTGGATTTGTATCTGATAAAAATAATCTTAGTTTTCTTTAAGGTGTAGCTCATAATTACTAATAAATATGTGTAGATAATTTTTAAGTTAAAAATAATTTTTATTGAAAAGGGACATTTTGGTTCTAGTAATGTACCTTGATCTATTATTCCATTTGGGGATGCTCCAATGTAGAGGTGTTCATAAGAAATAATTAAACCGCTTTGTGTCACAACTTTTCCTGACATGGCCTCATAACACAGCATAGCTAAATTTTCTTTGGTCTTTCCTCAATGAACAGCATCATTTTTTAAAGTTTTAGGAAATACTTTAAAAGTAAGATATTATTGCAGTTTGAAACCCTCTGCAAATTTGTTTTATCTTTTTTATCAGTAAATTTACATATTTCCCCAACAGTGACATGTAGTGCCCTTTCTGCATGCCAGATTTTGATTTCATTTTGACTTTTTGTTTGTTTTTCTATAGTACATATTAGCTTATTCCAGAGATACCTAAAATCAAAGATAAGATGTTACTTTAGAAATTACGCTTCAGTAATGCATTGAGGATTAATGAATAGGAAAAGTTAAAGCCTCACTTCAATTTTATTTAAAATGATTTGATAGTTGAGGAGTTTATCTAGGTAGAAATGATCATACACCAGTGCACCCATACATGCAATTTCAAATATTTCATTAAAACCCAACTGTTTTTTCTTCAAACTGCAATAATATCTTACTTTTAATTGAGTCACTTGAACACTTCATTCTTTCTTTTAATTGGTCATGGATCATAACACAAACTTGTCCTCTTTTTTTTAAACATTAGATTCTTGAATTTCAAATGAGATATCACATGCTTCTTTAGGAGATAAATGCAAATTTCTTTTTTTGGTTCATACCTTTTCTGTTTTATTTGTGTTGGAGTTTGCCTGATATGCCAATAACAAAGTTCTTTGAACTTAAGGATTGCATAGCATATTACACAAACATGCTTACAAACCGCCTGAGGGCCTTTACCAGCAACATACTCAGAATTTTTTGAATATACTTTGAATTTTGCTATATACTTCCACTTCCAGAAAATGCAACACATGCAAAATAAGATAGTGATTTTGTATTTTTGGAGTGTACTTGACCTTTAAAAAACAAATGTTGATCACAAGTTGCACTCACTAATGCTATTAGATATTTGTTGATTAGCCTATTATAACCTTTACGATGAACTGCTGTATATTCTATAAGACCAGCATTATTTTTGTAACTTTCTAAGAAGTGTGTGTTGATGTGTACTATATCAGTATCAGGTATTGCTGTAGTTTGGGTAACACTATGATAGTCACAATCTGTCAGCCATTCAATGCTGTCTTTTTTATTTGTCTTGTTAACATTTTGTTTTCTTCACCTCTCGAGTAAAAATTATTATTATGATAGTAATCTTCACACCTATGTAATGATCAAATTATTTAGCTAACAGTAAATTAGAAAATATAGTTACACATTTTTACTAATTACACAATTTAAATTCCCCGCCATGAAGTCTGTCAAATTAATATACAATGGCTCAATTACAATGGCACCACTCTGGTGGCATAAAAAGCCGTGGATGCCCCCATTGCATGCACTATCACCATCATCACGAATCAACACTAGACTAAGGATGACACATTACCGTCGATAATAGATAAATAGTCTCTGCAATGGCTGATCACTAGGATATTAATCACCGTAACAATAGGTAACTATTAATAATTTTTTTCTTTGCATTACAGTTAAAATTATTTATCAATCAGTTTTATTTGATTAAATGTGTATGAATGCATTATAAAAGGTTTACATATATTAAAAAAGGCTAGTTATGCTGTGGAAGATTTCCATAGGGCAATCCAGGAACCATTGGGCAATAAAAATGTGAAATTGTGCCATAATATTTTTATCAACAGTATGATGTATTCAAATAATCTCGATTTAAAAAGTCAGTGACTTACCAAAGAAAACAGGAATTAGTTTGTGTATGAAAACATCATCTTTATAAAACAAATTTCAACATAACTAACACTTAAACTCCTTTGTAAAAAATTTAAAGAACTAAAAGAAGAACTAAAAACTAAAAACAATGATAGGTTTCTAAATATACATACAAAAACACATCAAAATAATTCAAACTGTCAAATTAGCACGTCAAATTTATTCAAAGTTTTTACGCCCATACAGCCTAATCTGACGTGTATTTTGTTCAGAAAATTCTTCACAATGTTTATCCGTTAGATTTCGTAGGTTTTAAGAGATTTCGATGATACCTTAATCCAGCAGACAGTCGAAATTTGTGGTAATTGTGTTGAACTTGATCGATAATGTCATCATTGGCTTTCTTATTATTGTCAAAATCTTCCAAAAACTTAATAAACTATAATTGTAAATAAATAATTCGTAAAAAGTATTTCAGTGTTTGTATATTATTCTTGGCTGACAACCTTATAACCTATGACAAAAGAAATGAAAAAAAAAACAACGATTTGGCTCATTTGATATATTTATATTTTGATATGTTGATGTTTTGCTTTTGTTGATTGTTACCTAATGGATGGTTGTCATGGAAACGTCACATTGTTTTGTTTCTCAAATTGTAACAAGGCCTAAAATTATTAATGTTTTGTGAACAAAATCTCAAAAACTAATATTGAAAGTCATTATTAATAATCTTGAAGTAAACAACACATAGTACGGTATCTTTGCAATGAGTTTATCTAGCCGTTGGTTAGATGTCGAAGTTGGAACAGATGAAATAGATCTTAATTCCTTGCCTTCGAATTTGGGACTGATTGATCTCCAAAATGACAATGAATTTAAATTACTTGTTGGTGACTTGGGGCGCGGAGATGAAATGCCTAAATTGAAGGTAAATATTTTAGCTTTTTAGTTTTTACAGCTTCATCTGATTTCTGAAATACCGCAATCTGTTTATGTTATAATAACGAGCGTATATAGTTTAAACAAGTCTGAATTATGTTGTAACTCTGCAGGTATTCAAAGGAGCAATGCAGACATCAGATTTAGTACTGCCTGATTTGCCATTAGGCGTTGTAGGTTTCTATACAAGTGAGACGATGCCGCGTTCATTTCCTGTTGTAGCTGTTGCAATGAGTTCATGTATTTACATATATCGAAACATGAAATTGTTTTATAAATACTACTTGCCCTCTGTGGAGCTTAGTTCTTGTGAGGTAGAAGTATGGAAACAGGTACTTATTTAAATCTTCTATTTTTTTAAACTAATTTTTGTATAATGTGAATAATAAGGAAGCTATGAATAAAGTGAAAATTGAAGCCAAATCATATTATTGCAATGTAGTGATGGAAAGATTTTTATAATTATAAATTTGTGGTCTATTTATCTGAATCTTATAAATAAATAAGGTATGTTTAGTGAATAAGCAATGCAATTTCAACCATTGTTAATATAATTTTAAATCTGTAAGTTTAATGCGTAAGTATGAGGGAGCTCAAGGTTGCTCAGCGAGCTATGGAGAGGGCTATGCTTGGAATTTCTCTGCGTGATAAACTTAGAAATGAGGATATCCACAGTAGAACCAGAGTAACCGACATAGCCCGATGGATTAGTAAGCTGAAGTGGCAGTGGGCTGGCCATATAGCTCAAAGAACCGACAATCGATGGGGAAGAAAGGTTCTCGAGTGGCAGCCTCGTACCGACGGACAAAGTGTAGGGCGTCCCCCCACTAGATGGAGTGACGACCTGGTAAGACATGCAGGAAGTCAATGGATGCAGGTGACTCAGGACCGTGCTTTGTGGCATTCTTTGGGGGAGGCCTATGTTCAGCAGTAGACTTATGAAGGGCTGTAATGATGAAGTTTAATGCCCTGTACTTTATGTTTTTCTACCAGTTTCATAAAGGAGAAGGTACTTAATTCGACCGTATGTTTCTTCGTTACTCTTAATAATCTAGTTGGTTGGACAAAATTTTTAATTTTAAATTATTATCCAAATTATTTGTATTTGTGATAATATAATGAATTTGTTACTATGAGATTGCCATAAACTAAAAGGAAAAAGACAATATACTGAATAAAGATTATTTTGTTGTTTTTATTTAATGATGTTGATTATGACATAAGTAAAGAATTTTTAAAACCTAATAAGTTTTTTTTTATAGGATAAGGGTGACAAACGATTACACAGTCCACCTGATGGTAAGTGGTTGCTGGAACCCATAGACATCTACATCTATCCTCTATTACAAATCAAAATGTAGATGCATTGTCACCCGTGAGTACTAAGATGGAATGCCTCATTTCCAGTAAAAAGGGCCTCCGGCCACCTGCACTCACCAAGCGAAACGCAGAGGTAAACCTCTACTTCACCCTGGTTTTCTGTGATGTTGTGGTACCAACCCAGTAAGTTGACTACTTCTTCTTCATTTAGTTTATGGCTAATCCTGATAGAATTATGCCAATTGATATTGGCAAATCAATTAATTTTAAAATATATTTAACACCTATTGATGGTTTTATGGTGTTTAATGACTTCCTCAATTAAAACACAATTAAATACTCCTTTTTCGTGATACAATCTACTTAGCTGTTCATTCTGTTTCTGCTACACTTTACCTGGTGATCATAATATTTGTTCCCCTGTAACTATGCCCGCGTGTATTTTTTGCGTGGAACCATAATTATTTTATTAAAATAATTTAAAATTAAAAATTTTGTGCAACTGACTTCAATATAAATTATAAAGGATAACTCAAAAACTATTGGCCAGACCTTGATCAAATTTATATGGGACCACATGAGAAGCTACAGCTTTCAAATAAAAAGAGAATCATCAAAATCAGTTCACCTAGAAAAAAATATGAGGTAACACACAAAAAAAAGAACATACAGTCGAATTGAGTACCTCCTCCTTTTTGAAGTCGGTAGAGAAGTAGCCTAAGTTAATCCTTGTAACATCAGCTTTTTGCCAGTGAAAGTCTCGTCAAAACCTGTCCAGCCATTTCGGAGATTAACCAGAACAAACAGACAGACAAAAATTTAAAAAATTGTGTTTTTCTTACAAGTATCGTATTTACTTTCATATGCATTTAGTAAAGAACTGTTATTTTGACATTACAAACATACACTCAATTTTATTTATTTGTATAGATATTTGCAAAGTAACATTTAGCCATTATTTCTTGATTACAGTATAATAAAAATCAATACATTAAATATACCTTGTAATGATTTTTTTTAGTTGATAGAACCACATAACCAGAATGAAGAGTCCTTCAAGGCTCTTACTACAAGTTTACAATCTATACCACAAAAAGTTCTAAGCTACCAATCTCAGAATTTTCTTAGTCTTGATTTTGAACAGAGACTTGAATATCTGCAACAGATGACAGAGTTACCAGGTTGTAAAAATTCAGAAATTGCTTGTATCACAGCCTTAAAAATGAATTCGGTAGATAAGTATGCTTTGAGTTGTTTGGTGGTTGGTACGGAAGATGGAGAGATTATTATTTTAGAACCTGCTTCATTTACACCCATAAGCACTGTGAGTATATATTGAAACTTAAGTACCTATAATTACATAGAGTGTGACGGAAAAACATTGACATACTATGTGTAAAAAAACCCTTTCCAACCCACGAGGGTGCTTTTAGACATCACTATATGATTCTGATTATGTAATTCTTTTCAGATAATAACTAAAACATTACTCTACAAGAATTAAATAAAGTATAATTAAATTCAATTTTATTTTTAACTAGCTGTTAACTGCGACTTCGTTCGCTTGGAATTTATTACAATTAGATATTTACATTATATATATATTTACATAGATTTTTTTTATAACCATAATCGTTATTCTAAAATAATAGTAGCCTAAGTTACTTATTATAACATCAGCTAATCTGCCAGTGAAAGTCCGGTCGAATACGGTCCAGCCGTTTCAGAGATTGACCGGAACAAACAAACAAAAATTTTAAAAATAGTTTTTTTCTTATTATAAGTACTGTATATACTTTCATATATGCATTTAGTCAAAAGTTATTATTTTGATATTACAAAGAGGCACTTCAATTTTATTTATTTGTATATATTGCAATTGGCAATACCTGCCCACTGAATGTTTAAGGATCGATCTCTAACCCAAGACCGTAATCAACAATGGTATTGCCTGATTTTGAAATTTACGGAATTTCAAACAATTTATAGTAATAAATATGTATTTTGTTTTATAGAATAGGAGTGACAAACAAGCAAACAGTCCACCCGATTTGTAATTGGATGCTGTGGCCCGTAGACATCTACATCTATCCTCAATAAAGAATCAAAATGCAAATGCATTTTCACCCCCAAGGACTAAGATGGAATGCCTTGTTTCCAGTAAAAGCAGTGTCCAGTTTTCTACACTCACCATATGAAACACAGCAGCATTAATCTGCTATTTTACGCTGGTTTCCTGTAAGAGCGTGGTCCTTCCCCGGCCGAACCGATCTATACCTGCAGCATGGCTCTACCACGTATAAATTAAAATTACATTTTTATATTCATTAATTATAAATGTTTAATTTTTTTTGGTAACGTCTTTGTGGTACCTAAGTGTCACTTGCATCAGACAGGGTGATTTTTGCATATTGTATATAAACACACCCAAAACAAAATATAAAAGTTCTTATTTTGTCCGCTATTCAGTCTTACTTGATGTCTTAGTCTAAATAAGACATCAATTACAATAAAAAGTTTGAAAGAACTGCTTAATATTTCTACTAAACGTTATATTTGGTTCGAAACATAATTTAAATGTCATAGGAGGGAATTTTAATGCAGCAATATGACATTATAAAATAATAGATACTTATTTTTTGAACAGGCAAAGTTATATACAATAAAGAAAACACCTTACCAAATGGTCGCAACTGGCCTGTACAATGTTGACTACAGAATAACTATAGCTACAAGGTGTGAAAGTAATTTGGTTCCCACCTGTTAGATCTTTGCTTCCAGTCACAACATTTATTTTTCTTTGTTTTTTATTTAATATATAACATTTTTGTTTAATTTTTCATAAAGTTTCTGATTTAAGATTAGTTCTTTAATATATCATATAATTTAAATTTATTTTTTCCCAAGCACATTGCAGAACAATGATCATATTGTTCTTCAGTGTGATAGTTGCTTAAAATAATCCACTACCCCATATCATCCCATGGGTGATAAATAAACGGCGAAGAGCGAGTCGGACTCGCGCATAAAGGGTTCCGTACCATCGTAATTCACGTTTCTAATAGGGAAGCCATTTTAATTTGTTTAATTTTTTTTATTATAGCGGCAATAGAAATACACATTCTGTGAAAATTTCAACTGTCTACCTATTACGAATCATGAGATACAATCCGCTGACAGACATACGAACTGACGGACTGACGGACAGCGGAGGCTTAGTAATAGGGTCACGTTAGATACCCTTTGGGTACGGAACCCTAAAAACGACCCGCCTACCAAGTGTGGAAACCATGACAAATATACGAGGAAATATATGAGGCAATCTATGGGGGAGGGTTATGTTCAACACCTACGGGTGTGTTGGTTTAGGGTAGTGGATGTTCTTACGCCGGTATGACACAGCGTATCATATAAAACACATGAAAATAATGCAAAAAATAATACTGTCTAGTTTTCTAACATATGTCGCATGTGCACACTTAATAATATAGGTACACAAGACTTGTGGAAGTGAAAACTTCTGTCGTTCGTGATCCTTGTGATTTGACATTCGATGAAACGAAAAAGCGACACTAAAAATAGACAAACATACATCCATAGGATTTGTTACAAGATAATGGGATAGAGTACAGTATACAATGTTTCCTATTATCTATAACATAATGTAATATAATGTATAATATAATTTTTAAACTTGGTACTACTCCCGATTTTCACTTCTACTGCGTGTGAACTGCACACATGTTTTTTTTTATTCTGTAATTATGGGTTATCTGCTAAGAATTGTCTTTTACATTTTCAGCTTTTTTCTGCACATGGCTTTATTCAAATTGAGACTTTATAGTTATATCAATAAGTTATAACTTTAAAATTGATTTCGTATTTCACAGGGACAAATCAGTGTGTCTACTAAAAAGGGACTGGAAGGAGGGTCAATTGCTGTTCAGAACTGACGAGCACATCATAGCTATTGAAGTCTCAAACATAGATAATAGTATATTTGTCATATGCTGTGACAGTACTTTTGCGTGTTATAGTAAAAAAGTAGGTATTACACTGCTACCGCAAAATATTTAATTGTTCAAGTCTTATCCATATAACTTAACTTGTTTTTTAATTTATCATCATTAGCCATAACTATGAACATTTCATTTCTAACCATAGGAAAGCATATAAGATCTTTTGCGCCATTCATCATCATCAATATTACAGTCCATCATAAGTCTACTGCCGAACATAGGGACAATCATATCACACAGGATACCTGTCCCTGTAAACCTGGACTGTTTGCTGAACATGAACCTCTCGGTAGTAACGTCATATATCTAGCTCCATTAAAGCTGTTAATTAGTGGCTACAAGAAAATTCCTGGTTTGGCAGTATAAGCATCAATTACCCCATTTAAAGTTAAAATACCCAGTTCGGTGGCGAAAAGCAAGATGCTAGAGTCAAAGATGCTAGACATGTTGACAAATCGCAATCCAAGAGAGGTCTATGTTCAGCAGTAGATGGTTGCAGGCTGGTAAAAAGAAAACCAGTCGCATTCGTGCAATTGAATTCGTGCGCGTCCTCTCCACGTTTCGTTCGGTGCTAGACTTACGTGCTGCAACTTGTAATGAGGGCTAATAATATCTTATCTTACGCTCTTATTTTTTCACCTCATTCCTAAGTGGCGCCGTTTTAGTGGCAGAAAAAGTAGTTAATGCTCTCATTGACTTATGACACCCACAAGAAAAGTCTGTAAAGTTACAGCCTATACACGTCCCACTGCTGGGCACAGGCCTCGTCTAATTTCTGAGAGGGTCTTAAGATAAGTGTCCGCCGCACTGCCCCAATGCGTGTTGGCGAACTTCACATATCCTCGAAGTATTTTTATTCTTATTTTTTTATGCATGAACGCGTCCGAACTGTTTCAAGCAAAAATAAACCTTATAACATTAAGGTTTATTTTTGCTTGAAACAGTTCGAACGCGTTCATGCATATTAAAAGTTCGCTAATATAATTGATATTTACAAACGTTATTATTAAGTGAAAATTTAATTTAATAAAAACCAAGGTGATTTAGCTGTACCTACTTATATAAATTATTTTTTTATAAAACAAAAAATAGTACAAAAGGTTTGTAATCTCTGCATACAAAAGTCACTCTCCATTTCAAGGAAAATACGTAGAAAACTCGTAGTTAGCTACTAAAAACAAGTATCCTTCCGTTTGCAACTGATGTTTGATGTCAACTAAACTTAATCAGGTCTAAACAAGTGAAAAAAGCATAAAAAAGAACATTATTTTTACACATGGATGATGGCACAATAAGTGTGTCATCAACTTTTATGGCGCTTGACACGACAGGCGTGTCGTGTAATATTTGTGTAAGTTGTCGAAAATTGATGTCGCAACGAATCGGTTAAGCTGCTAATTTACGTTGGATTCTGTAAGAGCGTCGTCCTTCTCCGGTCGAGCCGATCCATTTGTACTGCAACCATGATATAGCTGAAGCGTGGTTCTACCACGCACAAAATACTAATTGTTAGCATTTCTCAACCCTGGTGCATATTCGATTTGGTTTTCAGGGCAAAAAACAGTGGTCAATAACTCTAGAACACCGGCCAGTAGCACTCACTCTGGTCCCTATTATGCACTTGGGGACCACGCTGACGGCTGTTGCATTAGCCTCGGGACATTTGCATTTATATGACGGTAAAGCTCGCAGGGATACCATGTTTATAAGAGGTACGTGTATGAGTAAAGGCATACATTTTTTGAAGTTAAAGAAAGCATTTATTTTATTGCATGAAGGTCTTATTGAATAATAGGGCAAGCTATAACAAGTCAGGAGGCGAGACAATTTCGTAGTGCAGTGGTTTTCGGTACTGCTGCGGCGACGGTGGTTCAAATGGCGGACGGAACGAGTTTTGTTACTACAAATTATTGTTCCGGGTCAGGGTATTTGTCTTTGTACAATTTATGTTTGTAAAAGACCACCACGATACAGGAGAAAATGGTAGTGCGGTGGTAACTTTTTTAAATAAATATTTCTAAGACGGTTTACTCCGTGTTTGCCAATTTGCTTATTACTCATTTTTGTCATTATTGGCTTCTGTATGGTTTGTTAATGTTCGATAATATTATTTACTAGCTGTTCCCCGCGACTTCGCCCGCGTGGAATTTATTACGATTGGATTTTATGCGTTTTAATGTTTTTGCGCGGAACTCTAATTCCTTTTCTAAAATAGAGTAACCTAAGTTACTCCTTATAAAATTAGCTATCTGCCAGTGAAAATCCCGTCAAAATCGGTCTAACCGTTTCCGAGATTAGGAAAAAATTGTGTTTTTTGTTATAAGCACCGTATATACTTTCATATGCATTTAGTAAAAAGCTGTTACACAGTGGTAGAGCCACGCGGCAGCTTTTGCTGTCGCACGGATGGGCCGGCTCGATCCGGGGTAGTACCACGACCTCACAGAAAACCAGCGTGAAGTAGAGGTTTACCTCTGCGTTTCGCTTGGTGAGTGCAGGTGGCCGGAGGCCCTTTTTACTGGAAATGAGGCATTCCATCTTAGTCCTCACGGATGACAACGCATCTACATTTTGATTTGTAACAGAGGATAGATGTAGATGTCTATGGGCCGCAGCAACCACTTACCATCAGGTGGACTGTGTGCTCGTTTGTCACCCTCATCCTATAAAAAAAAAGCTGTTATTTTGACATTACAAACAGACACTTCAATTTTATTTACTTGCATAGATGTATAAAACTATTTTAGTACAATTGGCAAAATTAGTAATGACGACAATACACATGTAATATATACGTGGTACAGCCATGCTGCAACTATATTAGTGGTATAGTTGTAGCACGAATGGGTCGGCTCGACCGGGGAAGGACCACGCTCTCACAGAAAACCAGCGTAAAATAGCAGCTTAACGCTGCTGTGTTTCTTATGGTGAGTGTAGAGAACCGGAGACCCTTTTTACTGGCAAAGAGGTATTTCATCTTAGTTCTCACGGGTGACAACGCATCTGCATCTTGAGTCTTTATTGAGGATAGATGTAGATGTCTATGGGTCGCAGTGGCCACTTACCATCAGATGAACTGTGTGCTTGTTTGTCACCCTATCCTATAAAAAAAAATCTATACTTGCTGTACCAAGAAACGTACAGGCCTATTTAACGGATTATTCTTGTATTGATGTATAATTTTCTACCGCGGAACCCTATTTTTTTTAAATAAAACTATTCTAAGTTACTCCTTATAACGTCAGCTATTTGCCAGTGAAAGTCCCGTCAAAATCGGTCCAGCCGTTTCGGAGATTAGCCGGAACAAACAGACAGACAGACAGACGGACAGACAAAAATGTTTAAAATTGTTTTTTTGTTATTAGGACCATATGTAGATACTTTCATATGCATTTAGTAAAAAGCTGTAATTTAAAATTACAAACAGAAACTTCAATTTTATTTATTTGTATAGATTACAACTGTTGGCGAATTATAGTATAGAGTTGAGAAAGAAAATAGTCTAGCTTCTTGCCGATGCTTCTCACAATGTCTCCGCAAGTAGACTTTAAAAGCGATGGCGTAGGTTTCAGAATCTTAAAAAAACTTTGGTGTAGATCAATTTAGAAAAAAATATTCTGAATTTAATTTTAAAGCACTTCAAAAAATATAAACCATGCGAACAACTAGATGATCGAAAATATTCAAAATGTAATAAATAAATATTATCAAAATTAATAGTTATCTTGTAATTTTGACCTCTGGGAGAATGCGAATTCCTTGTTTTTAGCGTGGACAAATATATTATTAATTACTAGCACCGGGGGGGGGGGGGGGCTTCGCCTGGTGGGATATAACGTGGCGTTATTTAGACTGAAGATAATCATCCAACTGTATTTATTATATCCATTTTCTGATTAAAAAAAAAAACAATATTTCAGTTTATATTATACTTCTTTCTTTTTTAATTTGTGACTTATAAAATTGTTCCAGACGTTGTATCGGTGATGAAATTCGGTCAGCTCGGTAAAGAGGAGAACGTTTTCATAATTATAACTGCAAGTAAGTCACTTCTTTTAATTTCAACAATAATTATGATAAGCCATGCCGTGTGATGGTGGCATAAGATAACCTCCCCCAGACCCCCCCCCCCCCTTCTTATCTTTCCTAGGGTGTCGAAAGAGGCGACTAAAACGTCAGCAATATAATACATATAATAGTTTTCGATAGATGGTGATCTCACCTTTTCGTGATTTGTCAGCATCATAGAAAAATTTAGATTAGTAAAAATTACCTGTGTAACGAAACACCCTAACGAGAAGGTATAAAATTACTGTCGGCACCACTAAATTGTATAAAATTTAATTTTATTTACAAATATTTTTTTTTTAATTTAAAGTGTCAGAAAGTCCGAACGAGAACTACAGGTAAGGTTGAGCGTGTGAATGTCACACTACAGGCAGTCTCCGAATGGAGCAATGCCAGTCACGTGAGATTCAACGCCTCCAAAACACAAGCGTGTCTTTTCACCGCTAAAAGGAACCCGCTCACTCTGGCTCCTACTTTCCGGAATGTATCATTGGAGTACACTGACCGCCTTCAGTTGTTAGCGGTTAAATTTTCTGCGAACCTCAACTATGGGCGGTTCATTGAGTCCAGAGCCAAAGCAGCCGCAAGGAAACTTGGTGTGCTTGCAAGGGGGCGGCGGTACCTCACGCCGGGGCAGCTTCTTACGTTATATAAAGCGCAAGTCCGGTGGTGCATCTCCATGCATGATGCATGATGGCTCATATATGACAGCAGTACTCCTACTGCTGTCATATATGAGCCGGTGCTGCGTTGGACTCAGTGGAGAGACGTGCTAAGAGGCGCATTGGTGACCTTGATTTGGTTGAAACCAATCTTCCAAGGTTTCTTGGTGGTTCTTCCCAGGACAGAAGTTTTTTTCCGAACCAGTGGTAAAGTAAAAAAAAATACTTTCAATGAGACTTATTTGTAATCAATATTGAAAAAAAATATTCTATTCTATTCTATACAATAGATGAGATCTATTTTCAGTCGTTATCTTTTACGGGTTGATGGTGACGATGTGATAAATGTGCAATCCGTCCGCCTTTTTTACACTACACTAATATGACAATCTATGTGATGGTAAGTGGGTACAGTAGCTCATGGATACATGGCAGGTGAAACCAACTTTAAACATTAAAGGCTACAGGTGCGTTGTTACCACTGAGGAATAAATTGAATTATCTTTCTGCCTGTAATTATGCTGGCTCTTCACACCCTTCACTCTATCCAAATGAACTTCTAGCTAAAATTAGTTCTATCACCCAGAAAAGGTATTTTGAATGGTTTCCTTTTTATGACATTTTTCGTAGCGACACGCTGCAGCTATATCATGGTTCTAGCACGAATGGTTCGGCTGGACCGAGGAAGGACGATCACGCAGAATAATAGCTTGAAATAACAGCTTAATGCTGCTGTGTTTCGTATGGTGAGTGTACGTATGTGTATGAGGAACCGGAGATCCTTAGGGTGACAACGCATCTATATTTTGATTCTTAATTAAATATAGATGCAGGTATGTATGTGCCATAAGCATCCACTTACCATCAGGTGGAGTTTGTGCTCGTTTGTCACCCTTATTCTCTAAAAAAAATAAGGCTGACCTACGTGCACAGTCTACCTGATGGTAAGTGGATGTTGTGGCCAATACATACCTATATTCAACCTCGATTACGAATCTAAATGCAGGTCCATTGTCATTGTTGAGGACTAAATAATGCCTATTTGCCAGTAAAAAAGCTCTCCGATTCTTATCACTCACTATACGAAACACAAGACCGTTATGCTGCCATTTCTCTATCTATGCAATACCTTATTGGTTCATTATTTAGCACTCTTTTTATTACAGACGGTAATCTGATGCTTAAAATACTGAAGCGCACGGCGGATTTCAACTCGGACGCGGCCAGTGTGGAAGCCGGCCCGAACTACTGCCCGGCACATAAACCTTGGCTCATACCTAAGAAGTCCAAACTATTCCTCGAGCAGTCAGCCAGGGAACGGGAGAACGCTGTCGGTGCGTAACAAAATTGAATGGAACATTACTTATCTATCTATACTATATAATAAATATAATAAAACTCTAACACGACGTCTGTCTGAACACGCATCACACAAAAACCTGTGAACCGATTGGAATTTCACTGGCAGATAGCTGTTGTTATAAGGAGTAACTCAGACTACTTTTATTTTAGGAAAAGAATTAGGGTTCCGCGCAAAAAAAAATAAAACCCATGAAATCCAATCGCAATAAATTCCACGCGGGCGAGTCGCGGGGAACAGCTAGTTCATTGAATATAACAAGTTTTACGGGTTTTATCATGTTTGTATTATAATAAGACTGTAATACGATGGGCAACACTGAAGTGATCGGGAATAAGAAAAAACACGTGCACGGTATAGCTAAATTGTATTTTATTGTTTTTGGAAGTATTCTCCGTTCAACTTAATGCACTTTTCCATTCGTGCAAACCAATCATTAAAACAGTAATTCCAGTCTGAAGTTGATGTTGACAAAATGGCTGATTTGTACGCTTTCACAGCTGCTTCGGGGTCTTCAAACCGTTGACCGCGTAATAAATCTTTCATTCTAGGGAATGTAAAGAAATCGTTTGGGCTCAGGTCAGGACTGTACGGAGGATGGCTCATCAATTCAACGTTTTCCAGCTTCAAAAAATCATTTGTCTTCCGAGCCGTATGGGAGCTCGCATTATCGTGATGTAGGATGATGCGACGTTTCGGGTTATTTTTTCGGAGTTCGGCTATCATTTCTGAGAAACAAACCGTGATATACCACTCAGCGGTAACCCTTCTGCGTTCTTGTACAGGAATTGCAAACGTAGCGACCATTTTCTTTGACACGCTGCAGGAGCGAAACACTTTCGTTGGTTTGACCTCTTCTTCGAAGACCCCAACTGCTGACTGATGTTTTATTTCAGGTTCGTATGAATAAATCCATGATTTGTCATCTGAGGCGATATTATAAACGGCATTTGACTTCTCTCTGTTGAAGCGTTGCAGAGTATTCCACCAATCTACACGAGCCGCCTTTTGCACTTCGGACAAATTGTGGGGAACCCAGCGGGAAACTAGCTTTCTTACACACAGCTCATTATGTAATATCGATTGAATTGCAGTCATTCCGATACTGATAACAGCCCGAATCTGCTCGTACGTTACATGACAGTCATCTAATATAATAGTTCGCACAGCTGCGATGTTTTCAGGCGTGACCGCCGTTCTTGGTCGACCTGCAGAAGAACAGTGCTGAGCGACATACGACCGCGTCGGAACTCGGCATACCAGCGGTATATTGTCGTTTGACTCGGTGCTTCAACATCATAAATCGAAACAAGTTTGCTGAGACATTTATCTTGAGATAAGCCGCGACGAAAATTGTGATAAATTATGGCTCGGAAATGTTCACGCGTGAGCTCCATTTCTGTTAACGACGTGTCAACTTTAAACCAACATAGTTTTTTTAAACATTTTTTTAATTGTTTGAATGTCATTAAGATTCTAAAAGGCCAGTATTCAAATTCTAAAAAAAGGTTTTATTGTAACTCAATCCGAAATATTCTATTCCCGATCATTTCAGTGTGCCCCTCGTATTCTACCTTTACATTTTGTATGTTGATTTATAACTATTGTAGGTAGACCTTTTTATATAAATAAATATTTAACATTTTGAGTGGCTTTTTTATAGAATTGGAGTGGTAAACGAGAAAACAGTCCATCTGATGATAAGTGGATGCTGTGGCCCATAGGCACATCTATCCTCAACTCAATTACGAGTCAAAATATAGATGTGTCACCCCTGAGGACTGAGATAGAATGCCTCCGTTACGTATAAAATGGGTCTCCGATTCCTTACGTTTTCACGCCGGTATTCTGTGAGAGTGTGGCCCTTCCACGTTTGAGTCGACCCACCCGAGAGTGTCCGTGTCCTGAGGGTCCACAAGTGATGAGTACAAAGTATTTTAATTAACTCTAGTCAGTAAAAGCGCTCAAATAAATATATGGATAAAATCCGTACATACGCCACTAATTATATCCTTAACTGCTCTGGACGACTGCCTCGTAGGCCTTTGAAAAAAAAAACACGTCGTTACCTGCAGTTTACATACCTACATAAATTTCACAAAACAAACATCCAAACTCGGAACAATTATTTGTGTAGGTCATAACTCATAACAATGCTTGTTACTTGCGGGATTTGAACCTGCGAACATCAGCTCCGAAACTCATTGTTATGTCACTGCGCCACATAGCCGTCCATCTCAACAATCGGACTCTCTCGTATCTATCGTATCTCGTATTTCAGTTGGATTTTTCCTCACTGTTCCTTATGTTTTTTCTTCTTTCTAATTGTGTCTACTTCACCAGATTTTACATAAGGGCAGTTACAATTAGGCATAGGAAAGGCAGTTTACATATTGCACAAGGATAAAAATCCAGACCCAAAACAATTATCTGGTTAAAGTAAAAGTAAAGTAAAGTTGCAGCCTATTTACGACCCACTGCTGGGCACAGGCCTCCTCTCATTTCTGAGAGGGTTTTAGGGCAAGGAAATGTCCGCCGCGCTGACCCAATGCGTGTTGGCGAACTTCACGTCTTCGAAATATTTTTTTCTTATTTCTCAGACATGCAGATTTCCTCACGATGTTTTCCTTCACCGCCGAGCATGTGGTAAATTAGCACTTAAAATTGCAACTAACAATTTCATTGGTGCCGGCGGGGATCGAACCCGGGTTGCTCGAGTACTGTGAAGCATACAGCGAGCGCTAACCATCTGAGCTACCACGGCTCCATTATTATTTGGTAGACTATATAAAAACTTGACCCGTGCGGGATTCGAACCCCTATACGTGGAAACTTTAGCATAAAGCTGTCACGTATACTTCCAATGCATACATAGCCACTGCGCCAAGAAGCTGCGCTGGTTCAATTTGACGGGCAGATGCGCTAACCGTTTAACTACACGTTGGTCTATTACCGTATTGCAGCTATGCACGAGGCGTTCCAGCTCGATCTGAACCGATTACGGCTGCTGGCTGCGAAAACCCTACTGGAGACTCACGTCAAGTCGGACAACTCCATAGCGGTCGGAGCTTTAGAGCCAATCAGGCTTTCTGCTGAGGTATTTTAAAACAATTTTTATATTTTCGCAGGTATTAAATAGGTAGTTTTAGCTTCAGTTATGTTTTTATTTCATTACAATTGTCTACTAGTTTTGGCATTGTGAGCACGGTACGCACACGTCGAAGACGTTTGTTTCCAAAGATTTACGGTATTTGCGATAAAAAGACCTGACGAAGCGTCCCAAATTCTGCTCACCCCAATTGAGTTCGCCTATCGGCTTTATCCTCGACATTGCAAGATGAAACGAAACTTTTTTTCGTCGAAATAAATTAAAATTTCGTTTTTCAAAGGCTGTTTTAGTATGCTATTTCAAAATGAGTTTCCTCTAGGTTCCTCTTACCGCATAAGATACTTCGAAAGAAACTCCACACATATCCGCATGCAATATTCATTATTAAAAGTAAAAAGAAATAGACCCAGAGACCAATAGGTAATCAAATCATTCATGGGCGTAGCTACCGTCGTATCAGCCGTATCAATGATACGGGCCCCCGGGCTACAGGGGCCCCGAACGTGTGTAAGCAAAAATTCTAAGGACTTCATGCGACAGGAAAGGCTACCAGACTTGTCACTATTGTCTATAAGAGGCAGAAAATTTAGAAAAACTGAAATCGTCGTCGCTGAATAAAAGGCAAAGAAAGTGTATATTTGATTTGAATTGTTTGGCTAGCTTAGTACCTGGCAGTATTAATTGCAAGAATATCAATATAATATATAATTATTTTAACTTAATGCGAGCGTTTTAATTTCCTTTTGTGAAAAATCTTAACCCTTAATTTGGGCCCCCGACAAATTTTGATACTGGGACTGTCTAAGGCACGCTACGCCACTGAACCATATTGTATAATATTTTCTATTTTATCTCTGTTATGGAAAATAAACAATATGTGGTCACCAAATTATTGTTAGTACATAATTAGTTGAATTTTTTGTACATCCTCCGTTGTGTACAACACACATGGAAATGCGAAGCAAAATGCCAGTTCTGATTTTTGTCCACTGATAGCGATAGTATTGAGTTACTATCGCTATCAGTGAACGTTTAGTTTTACAAAAAAAAAAGTGATTGTAATTTTGTCTTTGCAGTCAACTCTCATTGAATATCTAAGAAGTGCTACAATTGTTGCAAGTAATTTAAAGAACAGTTTTTAAAGATCTCTTGCCGTCGCACTGTTCCCGAACGACCAACCTAGAAAACCGACTGAGACAACTGCAACTCGTATCTATGATTTTTTTTATACAAACGGGCATGCGGCTCACCTGATGGTAAGTGACTACCGCCGCCCATAAACAACTGCAACACTAGTGGAACCAGGGGAATTGCAGATGCGTTGCCGGCCTTTTAAAAAGGAGTAGGATCTTTTCTTGAAGGTCCCTAAGTCGTAACGGTCCGGAAAACCGCTGGTGGTAATCGATTACACAAGGAAGTTATGCGAGGAAGAAAACTTCTAAATCGCACAGTGGTGGACAGCCAATCATCCAGATGGTATGGATGGTATCGCGAGTTTTGTCGCGATGTGCGATGGTGAAATTGAGCGGCTGCAATTAGTCCGAACAATTCCTCAGAGCACTCCCCGTGGTAGATGCGATAAAATACGCAAAGATATGCAACATCTCTTCGCAGCGCCAGTGAATCGAGCCGATCGGAAAGGACTCGGTCGTCGACGATTCGAGCCGCTCTGCGCTGGATGCGGTCAAGTGGAGGATGGTGAAATTGAGCGGCTGGAATTAGTCCAAACAATTCCTCAGAGCACTCCCCGTGATAGATGAGATAAAATACGCAAAAAGATGCAACATCTCTATCCTAGATAGATTAGAGATACTAGATCTCTAATCTCTAGTCAAGCTGATCGGAAAGAATTCGATCGTCGACGATTCGAACTGCTCTGCGCTGGATGTGGTCAAGTGGAAGAAGCTGGCACTGGGGAGCCCCAGCCCCGAGATGGGAACAGTATTCCATGGGAGGCCGAACCTGCGCCTTGTAAAGTTGCAGGCGGTGTGCCGGCATGAAATACTGTCCCGCTCTGCTGAGCACGCCAAGCTTTTCAGAGACCAATTTATCCTTCTCTTCCAAGTGACCACAAAACTGCACGTCACTCGATATGTCGACGTCGAGGATTCCGATACTGGGTGAGGCAACAAAGGGAGTGCCTTGAAATTGAGGAGACACGACAAAGGGGTTCTTTTTAACGGTAAACGCGCAAACTTGTCTTCTGAGGATTAAACTGGACTAGATTTAGTCGCCCCCAATCCGAGACTTTGTTCAGCAAAGACTCAACTTCAGACACAAGTCTGTTCCGGTACTCGGCAACGTTTTTCCGAAAAATATTAGCACGGCCGGTGTATAGAGCATCACCAGTGCGGATGACAGCACTGGTGATGCTCTATACCGGCCGTGCCATAGCAATGAACGTTACCGGTCTGTAACATATCATTGATATGCAAAAGAAATAGCGTTGGTGATAGCACGCAGCCTTGTGGAACACCAGCGTTAATAGGCTTGTAATCGGAGCATGCACCATCGACTACGACCTTAATGCTCCGATCAGTCAGAAAACTGGTAATCCAATTGTACAATTTCTCGGGAAACCCATAAGAAGGAAGCTTCGAAAGAAGCGCTTTGTGCCAGTCCCGATCGAAGGCCTTCGCTATGTCAAAACTAATGACCAATGCTTCGCCCTTTGACTCGATCGCCTGCGCCCATCTGTGCGTTAGGTAAACAAGAAGATCACCAGCTGAGCGACCACGACGGAAACCGTACTGGCGGTCACTAATCAGCTATTGCACCTCAAGGTACCGCATGAGCCGGCAATTGATAATGAACTCCATTATTTTCGAGTGGTTACCTTTTTTAGGGATCGGGTTCACGAAAGCTGTTTTCTGTGAATTCGGGACAACGCCTAAGGAGTAGGAGTATCGGAAAAGACGCGTTAGAACCGGTGCCAACTATGAAGCGCACGTCCTCAGCACTATTGGCGGGATTCCGTCAGGCCCACTTGACTTGTGGATGTCCAGGGCGAGGAGTGATTTACGTACTGAGCACTGTGTGTATCGCACATCAGGCATAGAGCACTCACACTGCGGAATGGTCGGCGGTGTGTTCCCCCCGTTATCGAGAGTCTAGTTTGACGGAATAAGGGAGCCTAAAAAGCCGGCTTTCTCTTTTGCGGCGTGGGCCAGTGAGTCATGCTCCCTGTGAAGAGAGTAGAGTGGTAGTGATGGCTCATAGACCCTTGAACAGCCTTGGCGAGAGACCAGAATGCACGAGTTCGCGAAGGAAGGCGAAATAATTTCTCGCCAATTCTACCAATGTGCTCATACTTTGCCTTGGCAATAACTCTTTTCAAGGACCTGGAGGCGAAGTTATACTTCTTTTTAAACATGCTGGTGTTTAAATCCCGAGCCCCTGAAGCTTCAGCCCAGGCCTGATAACACTTCTGCTTACTACGTAATGCCGTCTTACAGCAGCGACCAAACAAAGGCTGGGATCTGCCTCCGATGGGTACCACAGATGATGGAATGATGTGGTGATGTGGTGCCACAGGGAATGGTACTATTTGTACCATTCCCTGTGGCACCACATCAGTGACAGAGTCAGCAACAGCGCTGGGATCATCCAGCAAAAAGGAAACCAGCCCCCATGGGTAGGATGCAAAGAAAGACCGCATACCGTCCCAATCCGCCGAACTGTAATGCCAAACACGGCGGCAGCATGCAGAACGCAACCACGAGGAGAGCGAATAATTGACGAAATCAATTTTTCCTCCTCCAAAACTGGACCGATTTTAGTTTCTTTTCTAGAATAATATGAGAAGGATTGTGGCTATGTTTGTCTCTTTTTAAATAAAAACGTTACTCTCACACTGCATCGTGGAGGCAGTTTACATATACATAAATTGCACACGGACAAACATCTGTATGTTTTTCTAAATTTTTTTATTATGTGTCATATTTATTTGCTGGATGTCTAATAACGGCAGTATAATTGGGCAGTTTTAAGAGTTTAAATTTATGAAAAAAAAAACACAGGCACATAGTAATAGTAGATGCAGATTGTATCGTAAAAATATTTACTCTAGTTTCATTATCCAGGAGGAAAACATAGGAATACCTTGGAATGAATTAACCGCCGCCCAGTTATTCTCTTTTAAAAACTAAATAAACTATCAAAACAAACACTGTGTATGCTATGCTCAGAATTAAGCACCTACTGTTTCGAATAGCACAGATGCCTTGAATCTTTAAAGAATTATTGCTCTATAATTATTTGTCTTAAATTAGCAGTATCTCAACTCATATATAATCGGCCATTTTGTGTCAACATAGGAGAGCTTAAGTTATCACTTTACCTTAAACGAGTGCATATCTGCAACGCGTCGTCGCTTATTGTAAACCGACTTTAATGATTCTTATTAGGGTTCCGTACCCAAACGGTAACCAACGGGACCCTATTACTAAGCCTCCGCTGTCAGTCCGTCCGTCTGTCAGCGGGCATGATCCGTAATAGGTTAACGGTGGAAATTTTCACAGAATGTTTATTTCTGTTGCCTATAGCGGCAACAGAATACAACAAATAGTAAAATTAAAAAATAAATTGGAATTTAAAGGGTGCTCCCCTACTAGAAACGTCTTTTACTATGGTACGGAAACCTTTATGCGCGAATCCGACTCGCACGCGGACGATTTTTTTATTAAATAGGCCTTAACTCAGGGCATACTTAAATGGGCCACCCATGGTGGTAATTCCAACCCAGAAGTACTCCCAAGCAGATGAAAGCCCTACCAACTCGTTAAGTAGACTATTCATTCATTAATTCATTACAGCCTTTCAAAAGTCCACTACTCAACATAAGCCTGAAAAGGACTACACGACACTTAACCTAAGTAACCTATAGATGCAACAGTCGCGTGACGAAGGCTTTTCTTCACGCAGGTGGAGGGACTGGGCCCAGTATTCCGCGTGACCCTTATAATAGAGAACACGTCCAGTGAGAGGGCTGTTATGGGACTGGCGCTGCTCTTCCACGTACATACCAACTGCTACAAGGTTTCGAAACCGTATATTAAGGTAAAAACGTCTTTTTCTATAATAGTTTTTTCACCATAATTATCACTCCATAATAGCCAAACGAGCATCTTCTGTTTTTTTTTTTATAGGATAAGGGTGACAAACGAGCATACAGTCCACCTGATGGTAAGTGGTTGCTGCGGCCCATAGACATCTACATCTATCCTCTATTACAAATCAAAATGTAGATGCGTTGTCACCCGTGAGGACTAAGATGGAATGCCTCATTTCCAGTAAAAAGGGCCTCCGGCCACCTGCACTCACCAAGCGAAACGCAGAGGCAAACCTCTACTTCACGCTGGTTTTCTGTGAGGTCGTGGTACCACCCCGGTTCGAGCCGGCCCATCCGTGCGACAGCAAAAGCTGCCGCGTGGCTTTACCACTGTTATAGTGGTTTGATAATCACCACTTTTTTCGACGTGTAAATGAAATTATATCATATAAAATGAAACAAAAATTGAATAAAATGAAAATGGATTGTAAATTGTATGAAAATAGATTGAAAATTGAATGAAAAAAAATAAGGAAATGATAATGAAATGAAAATGAAATGAAAATTAAGTAAAAATCAATTGAACAGAAATGAATATTAAATGAAACATCTGTGTATCTTTTCCGATGTAAAACATTAACATTTTGTTTGTCAAACTTCAAAATCTACTACTAATCTGTTTTTTAAACTGTTTTTCTACAAGCCAGAGGTATCCCACGTTTGACATTGGTATTTTAGTCTGGCGTAAATGTGATGGTTATACCGCCATCTATGTCATGTGGTCTTTGTGGTATTTCCCATAGTCGCCTTTTACTACTCCCATGGGCGTATTGTTCTTATTATTATTATTAATTAATTATTTTCTAATTAAATATTTTTAATTATTATGTGCCATTTTAGTAACAGATTGACATTGAGAGGAAAAGCCACATGATGATTTAGAGGGCAGAGCCATGCTGCAGCTGTATTAATTAGCAGCACGAATGGGTCGGCTCGACCGGAGAAGGACCACGCTCTCACAGAATCCAAGCGTAAAATGGTGTTTCGTATGGTGAGTGTAGAGAACCGGCGACCCTTATTACTGAAAAAGAGTCATTCCGTCTTAGTTCTCAGGGGTGGAAATGCATCTGCATTTTGATTCTTTATTGAGGATAGATATAGATATCTATGGGTCACAGCAACCACTTACCATCAGGTGGACTGTGTGCTCGTTTGTCGCACTTATTCTATAAGGAAAAAATGGACACCTGCAACTAACTTCAAACAAAAATTATGATATATACGTTGTCTCCCATGAGGACTGCTAATCATCTCATCATAATCATCACCATTATTATCATCATCATCATTACAGTCTATCAAAGACCGTTGCTGAACATAGGCCTCCTTTCATAATCGCCTCATTAAGGGGAATCATTGACTGTAGTTTTTTTTTAAATTATTTTGAGTTGTTGTCAAGAAAAAGCTACTGCCCATTTTCTCTCTGTCGCCTCTCACGACACTCACGAGTTGATATGGGGAGGTGAATACTCTTACCGCTACTATACGGCAAACTAAGGACTACAGACTGCAGCTAATAAGATGAAAAACTCCTCCAGCCTCTACTCCTACACCTTCCACTCCATCCTTAAAGCGATACCCCGACCAAAACCTTTCGATAGTGCGTTTTTCTTCGTTATTCAGAGACTATTATCTCATTAGTTATGAGAAATAAACTACATCTAAAAACACATTTGTTCGATATCCTATCATCACATTCCACGTTCTAATTTGTTTTTGTGTTATAAATACATTTAAAATCTACTTTTAAAAAATGACTAAAATTATTGATTACATGCATCTGTTGCTGAAGGCAACGCTGTAATCATTTGATGATTACACTATGTAATGGATAGATAATTTAAAAATCTATATTATTCACGTTTTATTTAATTTTTAAAGTTTGCTTTTCTTTTTTGATTAAAGTTAATTCCAAAAATTGTGTGAATTCTATGATAAATGGGCGTACGCAGAGTGCGGGCGGCAGTGCACTGCATGCTCAAGGTTATTTGGTCATGGAAACGCCTTAAATAGGGGGGATACAGCAGTGCACTGCTGCTATACGACAGAACTAAGCGTTTAAAATTATCGACTTTTGCATTGGATTAAATATGAATCCACATTTATTCCAGGTACCTCTTCTCTCTCCAAACAGCCAGCTTAAACTGCCGACGAAAATCGAAGAAGTATTCGAAGAAAATCTTAATCCGGAAATATTGTTACGGACTGTCACCGGGCAAGGCGGGGAGAGGTCGCTATTAAAGATACTTCTGCTGAAAGAGGGGAGGAAGACCCCAGTGTTGGCTGCCACGGTCCAAATGCCCCCCACCGACCCCATGATGATCCCCTACGATAAGATGCAGTCCGATAGTGGTTTTGACTGATGTTTATAATAAATATAGATCAAACTAACTAACCTACATCTTTTATCTTCCGCGTATGGCCGCTACCTTGTTCTCCATTAGGGTATATATGAAAGGTGCTTTAGGAAGTAGAACTTCTCTACCTAGGAGACCGTATGGACCACTCTGTTTTAGATTCCTGTCGCCAAATAGCAGTGCCAGTACCACTGTGTACTAGTCTGAAGGCTATAAAAAGCCAGTATAACTAGAGCCTGTGAAGCATTCCAACTTAATCCTCGGAGATAATAATGATAAATTGAGACCAACCAGATCAGAAAACTTTATAGATAACCCAAATAATAATAATAATTTATTTGACTCTTAGTTTGGCAAATTACACTTATGTATTATATCTATTTTAAATTACAAAATAACATTTCAAAGAAGTTAGCGTTGACGGCCCTACTAGTATAAACTGTGTAACGGCCGTCAGGAGATGTAGATGACAATGCATCTGTAGCCTACTTTCTATAAAGTTAGTTTACTGAAGGTGTCCATGAACTGCAGCAGCTATTTATCATCAGATGGACCGTTAATTCGTCGACTACTTCATTTTGTAACAAAGGTGCTTAGTTGAGTAATCTCCTCGTCTCGAAAACTGCGTTTCCACCAGAGATGTGCGAGGTAGCTAGGCGGGGCGGGGATGCATAGCGAGGCCGTGGAACAGTGTAAGCGTTTCCACCAGAGATGTGCTAGCGCTTATATCTATGGCTGTTGTGTAAAAAAAGTAAAAAATTTCAAAGTTCAATTTTACGAGATATTATTATAAACAGGAATGTTTTAAATCATTTTCAAATTGAATGTAGTTCATTTTGTTTAACCACGCACACATCCCTCGCAACACCTCCCTCGCACACATCCTTCCCTTGTTTTGTATGTACAAAAACCTCGCTCCGCTGAGCCGTTTCCGCTAGAGCTGTGCTGGAGCGAGGCTAGGTAAATGAAGTGATTCAATTGGTTCTTAACAAACACAGCCCTCGCTACGCATCCTCACACATCTGTGGTGGAAACGAAGCCTAATACTGCTTTTTGCATGTCAAAGTCTAAATATTAGATTAAAAGTTTGAAAAGTTAGAACCTATATACGTCTCACTGGGCACAGGGCCCCTCTCATTTTTAAGAGGTAGGTTCAGGTAGGTCTAAAACTTATAAAATAACTAGCTGGCCAGGCAGACGTTGTTCTGCCCTTTTCGACGCCCCTTCCTATAAAAAAATCCTTAAATTCGCAATAAAATAATATTGAAGGTCACTTATCGGGATAAAAGTATCCTATCTCTCAAGTTGGACCAAACTGCACACAGTGTGCAAAATTTCATTTAAATCAGTTCTGTAGTTAAAGGAGTTCATCGCGGACAAACAATGTGACACGTAATTTTTATATATAAAGATTATTTTGAAGACGAAGTCCGCCAACACACATTGATGCAGCGCGGTGAACACTTCCTTGCCATAAAACCCACTCAAATATAGTTAAAGTCATTTGTCATACGCACACGAACGATATCATATGGTTTTTGAAAGTACAGTTTTTTTTTATAGGAGAGGGGCAAACGAGCATGCGGCTCACCTGATAGTGACTACCGCCGCCCATGAACAACTGCAACACCAAGGGAATTGCAGATGCGTTGCCGGCCTTTTAAAAACGAGTAGGCCCTTTTTTTGAAGGTCGTATCAGTCCGGAAAAATCGTTGGTCATAATCGATTCCACGGGAAAGTTGTGGGAGGAAGAAAACTTCTTCTAAATCGCACGGTGGTAGACCGCCAATCATTCAGATGGTATGGATGGTATCGCGAGTTTTCTCGCGATGCATGATGGTGAAATTGAGCGGCTGGAATTAGTCCAAACAATTCCTCAGAGTACTCCCCGTGATAGATGAGATAAAATACGCAAAGAGATGCAACATCTCTATCTAGTATCTCTAATCTCTAGTAAAGCTGATCGGAAAGAATTCGGTCGTCGACGATTCGAACCGCTCTGCGCTGGATGCGGTCAAGTGGAAGAAGCTGGCACTGGGGAGCCCCTGCCCAGAGATGGGAACAGTATTCCATGTGAGGCCGAACCTGCGCCTAGTAAAGTTGCAAGCGGTGTGTCGGCATGAAATACTCTCCCGCTCTGCTGAGCACGCCAAGCTTTTTAGAGGCGAATTTGGCCTTCTCTGTCAAGTGACTACGAAACTGCACGTCACTCGATATGTCGACGCCGATGATTCCGATACTGGCTGAGGCAACTAGGGGAGTGCCTTGAAACTGAGGAGATACGACAAAGGGGTTCTTTTTAGCGGTAAACGCGCAAATTTGTGTCTTCTGAGGATTAAATCTGGACTAAATTTAGTCGCCCCCAATCCGAGACTTTGTTCAGCAAAGACTCTACTTCAGACACAAGTTTGTTCCGGTACTAGGTGACGTTTTCCCGAAAAATATTGGCACGGATGGTGTATAGAGCATCGCCAGTGCTGTCATCCGCATAGCAATGAGTGCTACCGGTTTGTAACATATCATTGATATGCAGAAGAAACAGCGTTGGTGATAGCACGCAGCCTTGTGGAACACTAGCGTTAATAGGTTGTAAGCATAACTGCTGATCATGTTGTCCCAGATTGGAAACCCGGTCGGTGAGTCAATTATTAGGTTCTTCTGTCAAGAAATTCTGAGTAGCAGCCTGGAGTCAGGAAACTTGCGGTATTTCACCCCCGTGTTTCGGAAAGGACATAAAACCGTTGGTCCTGCGCCTGAACTCTCTTTAACTTCGGATTGCCGTCCCACTGGACTATGAGGTTAAGGGAATAGAGAGTGCACCTTTGTTTGCACACGCATTTCCACTCGTTTACTATAATTCTGGTCTACACAAATGGCTAGTCTCTGTTCAGGTTCACCGCCGTGACCAAAATTCGGTAGAGGAAATTATTATTTAAGGAAATATAGCTTTGATTGGGGCTATAAATTCAAGCAGGTGTCGTCAACTAGTGATTAACACAGTATCTGATATAAAAATATTATGGTAGTTATTTAATTTTTGTACCGATAACTTTCAACTGATAGATAAATAATCTCGTATAGTATACGAATATTGTATTAGTACCTACTAGCCGTGGTGATTATTGTAAGAATTGCGTGATAAGAGAAAAGTGTTGTTTGCAAGATGTTGTGACCAGGATGACGAATGTGTCGGTGGTTTGGACACGTGGTAAGAAAGTAGCAAAGCAAATTTATGCTGCAGAAGTAGAAGTGAGTGACAGAGTCTGCAACGGACACCCGAAAGTTTATCGACCAAATTGGCGATTTATTGAAAATGTGCCAAATTAATAGTTCTAACCACCTTCTTTATGTGGTAGAGCCATGCTGCAGCTATATTATGATTGTAGCACGAAGGGGTTGGCTCACAGAATACCAGCGTAAAATAGCAGATCAATGCTGCTGTGTTTCGTATGGTAAGTGTAGAGAATTGAAGACCCTTTTTACCGAAAACGAGGCATTCCATCTCAAGGCAAGTCCTAAGGGGTGGCTACGCATCTGCATTTTGATTTTTAATCGAGGATAGATTTAAATGTCTATGTACCACAGCATCCACACACCATCAGGTGGACTGTGTGCAGGGGCGTAGCTACCGCCGTATCAGCCGTATCAATGATACGGGGCCCCCGGGCTACAGGGGCCCCGAACGTGTATAAGCAAAAAATCCAAGGACTTCTATGGGACAAGAAAGGCTATCACTATTGTCTATAGAAACAAAGAATTTAGTAAAACTGAAATCGTCTTCAGCTATGAATGCCGCCGAATCGTCTTCACTCTTCAGCTATGTTCGCCGAACAAAAGGCAAGAAAAGTGTATATTTGATTTAAATTGTTTGGCTAGCTTAGTTCCTAGGAGTATTAGTTGTAAGTAATAATAATATATAATCATTTCAATTCAATACAAGCGTTTTTGTTCCTTTTATGAAATCTTTACTCTTCATTGGGGCCCCCCAACAAATTTTGATACAGGGCCCATCTAAAGCACGCTACGCCACTGACTGTGCTCGTTTTTCATCCTTATTCTATAAAAAAAGAGCATGTATGCGTACTCGTCGATAAGTGAATGTGAAAGATGCGAGAGAGGTATGTCATAATCGTCCCAAATAAAAGTGCATAGGCCCTACTTACCTCACTAGGGGACAGGGGTGAGACTTTGTGTATGTGTGTTATTGCTTATTGCACGAGGCGACTTTGAAATACCAGAAGTATTCTATATATTGCTTCCGATAGACAATGTAATGACCATCCAGTTTACGAACAGGCGACAATGGGCGGTTTTCCATTTACCAGCACGCCACCGGCACGGCGACGGCGCCGTAGCTTTGGTTTTCCACTGCGTGCCGTTGCCGGTCTATGCTCGGTTTTTGGGCAGTACTAAAACAGAGTTCAGTTCTATAACACGTAAAAAGGGTCTCGTCAAGTCGTCGTATTTGTTTGTTATATCTATTACATTTGAGAATAAAATATGATCAACGCAGAGAAGTCAAATTTTTAATTCATCCAATCTTACAAATAAAACACTTAGAAGGAACATATTATACCCTATTTTAAAATGTTGGAAATGGACTCTAAAAATATTTCAACTACCGAGGCGAACGAAGATATATTTCATCATTTCACAAGTCAATTTCGAGTCTCAATCTCAACGCGACCCTTCTACTTCAGCCCGCGCCCACACACGCACACCGCACGCACACGCACACCGTTGCAATACGTACACAATACACATTACACATGCAGTTTTGCCGGTCGGCAACGAGTGGGAAGCTTGCTACCACCGGCAACGGCACCGGTGGGACTCATCGCCGTGCCATCGCCGGCGCCAGTAAGTGGAAAAACATACCAGCTATTTTATACATTTTTGCTTCCCGGGTAGCCGTGGCGTTGCCGTTGCCATCGCCGTGCCGGTAAATGGAAAACCGCGCAATGAGTAACGTTAAAAGTACGAAAAGTCAGGTATAGCCAAAAAGTATAGTAAGTATACGTGAAGACATTGTTATCGATAATCTACCTGTGTGGTTATTACGACATATCCTCCTTACAACAGGAGAGGCTTTTGCTCAGAAGGGTACTTTATTGGACGATATGTACAAGCGACGGAAAGTATTATCAAAGATGATACGAGTATCTGTCTGGTACAAGTAAGTAGGTATAATGCAATCCAATTTCCCACAATATTATTTTCTACACTGATATTATTATACAAGGTGAAATTGCAGTTATTGACATCAATTTAACCTGTTCTTCTAAAGAATATTGTAAAGATAATTTAGGATAAAAAATTTTGTACAGCCGACTTCAATATAAGTTATTTAAGAATAACTCAAAAACTATTGGTCTGACTTTGATCAAATTCATATGAGACCACACGAGAACTATCAGCTTTCATATAAAAAAAGAATCATCGAAATCGGTTCATCCAGTACAAAGTTATGAGGTAACACACATAAAAAAAACATACAGTCGAATTGAGTACGGTCTCCTTTTTGGAAGTCGGCAGAAAAATAAATTAGGTATAACCCCAAAGAAGAGGAACAAGAAAAGGGCGAAACACTAAAATGTAGTGATCTCTGTCGCGTATTACTTGTAGAGGCACGTCTGTGTTTAATTTGTTCTGTACATTTGCTGCAATCTCTATGTAGCTATTCTGGGTGAATTCTGCTTACTGTGGGAGACGTTTATAGAGAACTGGTTGTTCTGAAAAAAAATTTCTTAGAAATTTTTTAAACGCAACATGAATAGTTGTATTCAGTAGTGGGTAGGTACTTATAATGTTAGGCATTCAATAATGCACAATTGATCAATGTCAAAATGACTGTGATAAGACTTAGGTAAGCTATTATTGGGCTGACCTCTAGAGTGTGGAAAATTACATTCATAAGTTTGGAAAATTCGGATCCAATATACAATGCTCTTTTACTTATCTGCGGGGAACCTGATAGGAGGGTGATGTTTTGACTAGTATACTTATAAGCATAGAATTATATAATCGATATTATATTAATCATATAATTACATTACGTATAGAATACTAGTACGCGCACCGAAAGTGAAGCAAGTAAAACTGTAAAACCACAGAATAAATAATAGTTTTGGTAAAACTAACGCGAAACCGCGTAAGTTAACTCAGCTCAGCGACGCGTCAGTGCGCAACGTCACGTCTTACGGAGAAGAGCTCACTAAAAATTGTAAAAATGACAGTTTGTGTTGTAAAATATTGTCACAACAGTGATGATAAACATAAAAAAAGTGATAGTATTACATTTCACAGGTAAGTTCATATATTTAATTCGTTATAAGTACGGTAAAACTAAAAAAATACTTACCTAAGCTAATCATAATACAAATGTTGCTAGTTGTGGGGAAAAAATTACAATGTTCTTTTAAAAATATTTATTTTCTATTTGTGTTTAAAAAGTTTAATCGCAACGCTCTGTGTAAAACTCAAATGTTTATATATAGATATCTAATTCTCTAAGTTTTAACATAATATTAACAAAGGGTGCCTATTTAAAACTAATACGGAGTGATGAGCTGATCGCGATCCGTCGACGCCATTTTAACACAGCTATTTTATTTTAATTGCTTTGTTTATTGACCAAATCAACGCTTTGGAGTTTTTTTTATTTTTTATTTACCACATCAAAAGATTATTAATAAGAACGCCTTTACTAACCAGATGTCACTTTACACCCAAACATTAACCAGATGTCACTTTATACCCAAACATAGTATATTTTTAACAGACTCCCTAAAGGAGAGGTTATCAATTAATTATGTATGTACAGTGTACACTGATTTCTAAGACGATTCTCGATCAATTCGTATATAAGTACATGCTGAAATTTTAGTGGTTGTTGTACCGCAGCCAAATTATACTGTCTCGATAGTAGATAGTAGAGTCAATTTATTAAAATAAAAAATAGTACAATTAAAAAAGGGCAGATTTACAATAATAATACCTCACGAGCTAGTCAGGCGTCCAGACTAGTTTATGCCGTATCACTAAGCTTGAGAGTTCATGCTCTGAACATTTATTGGCCCTTCACTGTGTAGGCAGCGCGCAGTAGCGCGTGCGATATACGTAACACTACATTACGTCCAACGAATTAATATTTTTTTTCAGAATTTATTATTATTGAATCGAAGTCCTTAAAAACTAGTCAAAATTAAAAAAAAAACTAGTCGTCATTTTAAACGTTTTTAATTGGCTGAATTTCCTGTGATAATTTATATGGCGAAGTAAACTAATATTTATCGAAAACGATTTTTAAAGTTATATTTAAGAAAAAGGAAACTTGACAAAACATTCCAAACTAAAACAGCCTTACTTCTTGCTCATGTATGTAACGGATACAATATAACGTATCGCACTCTTTTATTGTGCAGCTTTCCTGCCGATCCTGTGATAGCCAATCGCTGGATTGAAATAATAAGACGTAATCGCAGACAGGATTGGTGGAAGCCAAGTAATTATACAAAGATATGCTCCGTGCATTTCTGTATCAATGATAAGTATGAAACTAAAAAAGGGTTGCGAAGAATTCGCCGTGGTGCTGTGCCAACAAAGGTAATTTATATTATAATTAAATACATTATTGTATAGCTGATAGCTGCGTATATATTTTTGACACATTAGCTCTTGTAATATCAACTATTCAATACACTTTAGTCAACTAAGCCTAACAGTATTTTTTACTGTGATACGAGTTTTTATTATTATACTTAATTTTATGTTGTAGCTTTTTCTTATTTTCAAATATTTTAAACTCCATTTCAGCGTCTTTTCCTATCTATATCGGACTCTGACAGCGAGGAAGAAAACGCTGAGACACATGAAGATTCTAGTAAGATAATATGTGATGAGAGAATCAATACAGATCTATCTTCTTATTCACGTCCCGTAAGTAAAAATGAATATATGTTAATACTAAAGCCATACATGAAATCTAATTTTGAACAATTTTTTTTTGGCAGGGTACATCCACGGGCCTTGCAATGATAGCAAGCGCTAATATAGCGGACGAGAATGCTAAAGTCAATGAAAAAACATTGAATATAGGATCTGAACCTGTACGTGTACAGTCTACCTAATTCACTAAAAATAAGTTTTTACTACTTTTTAGGTTACTTTTTACGCATTACGTTTTACTACAACCTACTCAGAAATGAGAGGATGCCTGTGACTAGCTGTATGTCGTATATAGGCTGTAACTTTAACTTTAAGTTTTTACTAGAATTGATATCGTTATAAGTACTTACATATTTTATGCTTTTATTTTCAGAAAATAGATTCGTCGGATTTAGATTCCGTATTAAATACACCTCGAAAGGCCAAATTACGCCGGGAGTTAAGAAGAAAATCCACTCTACTAGTTAAATATGTAAAAATGATCAAAACCTTAAAACAAAAAAACCGTAGGTTAATAAAAATTAATTCATCTCTTAAAGAAATTTTGATCAATTTAAAAAAGCAGAGATATATTGATAATTATATAGTCAACATATTGTCAAGGAATGTTTTTGCAGCAGAGCTATATAATAACCTTTGTAAGAAAATTGGCAAAAACAAAAAGACTCATGCCTAAGTACATACCCGAATTCAGGGAATTCTGTTTGACTTTAAATTTTATTCACCACGGGCATAGCTCCAGGCTTCACAAGTGAAGCATTTGACGTACTTAAGTTAAAAGACAAAAACTAAAAAAAACTTATTGGTGTTTTGATTGCTGACGAGATGGCGATAAGGCAACAGGGCATTTGGGATGGCAGTCAGAATCATGGGCTTGTGGATATGGGTACAGGTACAGAGGGTAGAGATATAAAGGCTTCCGAGTCTTACTTGTTTTTACTTGTTGGCCTTAACGAGGGTTTTAAAATTCTTTTGGGCTATTTTTTGACTCATGGTCTGAATGGGACACAAAAAGCCAACCTTGTAAATATTTGCTTGACAAAATGCGAAGATTCTGGGATAGAAGTTGTGTCTTTGACCTTTGATGGTCATCCAACTTTATCGTGCATGGAGTTATTAGGGTGCCAAATAAAAAAAACCATCTAAGTTAAAAACAACGTTTAAACATCCTACTGCAGAACACAACGTAGCTGTATTTTTGGATCGAAGCCACGTGATTAAGTTAGTGCGCAACCACTTTGTAGGTAAAAAACATTTCAAGAGGAAAAAGAAATAAAGTGGAACTACGTAGTACTACTTAATGACTTTCAAGAAAAAACAGAATTGGATATAGCTAATAAATTAACTACAAAACATTTAAATTTCCGAAACTCTTAATACTTTAAATTCTTTAGTTATTTTATTAAATATTTTTACACACATATTAAGACTATTTTTGTTATATTTAACAAGCCTAGGAATGACTTCTAAGACAAGTTGGTCTGGGTCACGTCGATTTCGAGGATATATATCACTTGCTTTAACAAATAATGACTTATTTTTAATAAATACTCAGAGCAAAATAAATTTTTACGCGTAGTAATGCGACATAAGCTAGCCTACTCGCCCGACCTACTTGCGAGATATTCCTATTGGCTTGAGATCGCATTCGAGTTTTGTTTTTCTCGATTGTACATCTGCCATTTTTGCATACTAATAATTTTTATTTTAATAAATCTATTATACTTCCAAGACAAAATCCTTTAACTTCGGGAAAACAACCATTAAAATTTCAGCGTATATATTGGATCAATCTGTGTGTATATCCTATCAAATAAAAAAAATTAAATCTGTTTAGAAATAATAGAATTATGAGGTAAAAAACATTAAAAAAATACACCGAATTAAGAAACTCGTCCTTTTTTGAAGTTGGTTAAAATAAACATTACACGATGTGCTTATTGTATTCGAGCAAATTAATTGTGTTTAATAATATTCTTAAATTTTATAACGTCTGCATTTTTGTACCAATAAAATATATATAATAAAGTTATATTAGTACCATCATTATCGTGTTTATTTTATTCCATTTTATATCCTCATAAAATACGTCTATATACGTAATACGTAATCTTTATTATATCGATTATTTAAAGTTAATTAATACAATAGTGATTTGCACGATTTGATTGCAAACGCCAGAAACTGGTATCACTGAATGGGGTGTATGTTTGCGTGTGACGAGAGTAGGGCTTAGGCACATTCGACTCGCGCCAGTAGTACTATTATTTATTCTGTGCTCGCGCCAACTCACATCTCACATAATGACCTTGCGTCACTAACCTAAACGCTCTTGTTTTGTACTAGACTGCGTTTTCTACTGGGTAATAATTCTATGCTTATGTATAAGTATCTCCGTTTCCATGTCCGCCCGCACTACAACAAATCTTCGGATTTTAACAAATTATATCTCAATCGATTTGCCATTATTGCCCTGTTAACATATTACGTAATATATTAAGTAATAACGTTATCATAAAACAAGTTTGGCGGGTGCGAACTGAGAAAAATATGCAAAAACTTCTTTGTTTTTTTTTAATTTGCTTCATGAATGTATAGAGAATTACGTAGGTCACTCAATAAGTTTGGAGATGCTCGAAATTTAAAAATGGAACGCACTCGTGTTTTATATGTTTCTAAAAAGCAAATTGATTTAAAAATAGAACTCCATAAGCCAATTGCTCAATATTAAAAAAAAAAAAAAACAAAGTTCTATTAATTTTTCTGCAACGCTTCCCGCGTTTTTCATTTAAAACGATGGATGAACCGTGAACATTGCGCGCTATGATATATTATGATTTTAAATTTGGTTTAACCGAACAATGACGTTTACAACGGTTACAACCAGCATTAGGGGACTTAGCTCCATCACGCGCAACAATTTTTAGGTGGTTTGCTGAATTCAAAAAGGGTAAAATTAATCTTAAAGATGACCAAAGAACCGGGGCCCCGCAACTACTGAAATGTTGGTGCGAGAAGACCCACGAATTACATATACGGACATCGAAAAGATTGTAGGCATTAGTTCGGGGAGCATTCATACCATCCTACATCAACATCTTGGAGTGAGGAAGCTTTGTTGTCGATGGATCCCTCATTTGCTCTCCGAAAGCGAAAAACAGATTCGTGTGGATTGGTGCCATGAAATACGTCTTCGTTTTGAAAACAGGGCATCTAGGCGTGTTTCAGAAATCGTTACTGGTGACGAGACATGGATCTATCAATATGATCCGGAAAATAAAAGGCAATCATCGGTATGGGTCTACTCAGAAGGACAGTTACCCACAAAACTGCAAAGACCTCGCAAATTCGGCAAAAAAATGGCTGCTAGTTTTTTTCGCTGAGCGGACATTTGTCGACGTCAATGCTTGAAAATTGTATGTCATTCAATTCTGAATGGTATACTACAGTTGCATTACCCAAAGCTTTTCAAGCTGTGCGGGAGAGAAGACCAAAGATCGGGCTTCGAGGAATCATGCTGCATCACGATAATGCCTCTTCACATACCTCCCTTAGAACAAAAGTATTTATTGAGGAATCTGGTGTTGAAACTCTAAATCACCCACCCTACAGCCCTGACTTAGCTCCTTGTGATATCTTTTTGTTCCTAAGAGTCAAAGAAAAAATAAAAGGCAAGTTTTTTTCAAGCGCCGAAGAAGCCGTGGCTGCCTACGAAGAAGCGATTTCCGACCTGTCAGATCAAGACTGGCAAAAGTGTTTTCAGAGTTGGTTTAGGCGAATGGAACTTTGTATAGAGCATGATGGAGAATATTTTGAAAGGATGTAAAATAAATATTAATAGTATCTATCTAGAATACTTTTTGTATATCTCAAAACTTATTGAGTGACCTAAGTAAGGTGAATCTTGAAACACCATGATTTTACGAGTACTTATTTAGAAGATTGGTGTGATAACTAATCTCAAAACTATATAAATAAATGAACACTTCTTAGCATTCAGTTATACACTTCTTAGTAACGACTATACGTTATAAAATACTAATTGAATGAATTAGAAGTAAATATAATATTATATCCCCAAAATAAATGAAGTACGCAAACCAATAACAACACCGTAACACTTGTGTCTGAAGTCGAGTCTTTGCTGAACAATGTCTCGGATTGGGGGCGACTAAATCTAGTCCAATTTAATCCTCAAAAGACACAAGTTTGCGCGTTTACCGCTAAAAAGAACCCCTTTGTCGTATCTCCTCAGTTTCAAGGCACTCCCCTTCTTGCCTCAGCCAGTATCGGTATCCTCGGAGTCGACATATCGAGTGACGTGCAGTTTCGTGGTCACTTGGAAGGGAAGGCCAAATTGGCCTCTAAAAAGCTTGGCGTGCTCAGCAGAGCGGGACAGTATTTCATGCCGGCACACCGCCTGCTACTTTACAAGGCGCAAGTTCGGCCTCACATGGAATACTGTTCCCATCTCTGGGCAGGGGCTCCCCAGTGCCAGCTCCTTCCACTTGACCGCATCCAACGCAGAGCGGCTCGAATTGTCGACGACCGAGCCCTTTCCGATCGGCTCGATTCATTGGCACTGCGAAGAGATGTTGCATCCCTTTGCATTTTCTTTCGCATCTACCATGGGGAGTGCTCTGAGGAATTGTTCGGATTAATCCCAGCCGCCAAATTTCACGAACGCACATCGCGGCAGAACTCCCGATACCATCCACACCATCTGGATGATTGGCGGTCCACCACTGTGCGATTTAGAAGATGTTTTCTTCCTCGCACGATCTCCTTGTGGAATCGATTACCATCAGCGATTTTTCCGGACCGATACGACTTAGGGACCTTCAAGAAAAGAGCGTACTCCTTTTTAAAAGGCCGGCAACGCATCTGCGGTTCCCCTGGTGTTGCAGTTGTTCATGGGCGGCGGTAGTCACTTACCATCAGGTGAGCCGCATGCTCGTTTGCCCCCTCTCCTATAAAAAAAAAAACCGCCCATCACGAGACATAGGGCAGCGTCTTTGCAAAGTCATCATAAACCTTCTTTGCTTGTAGGTACTAAAATAATTACCACGATGGATAGAATAACGATAACGACTATGACCTAAGCTAGTTGCCTGCGCAGTACTGTATACTACTTGAACGAGTGAACAAAACAAACATTTTC